GTACAATGCAAGCTGCCATGTTATAGGGGTTTAAACACTAACATACAGACAAGACCTTTCTCTGTCTATGGCTGGTTACCCATTTCCTCCTGGGTGAAGTGAGGAAAATTTGTGTTAAATGCCTTTCCCAAGGACACAATGTTGAGCTTGAGGCTTGACTTCTCGAACCCATAACCTGATGATTATGATTTGGGTAGCCTAACAACTAGACTACCTACACCACTCAGTAGGATTGAGGTTTGAGTTACATAATCTGGTTGTGGTTTAGCACAATGTGGATCAAAAAGTACTTTTTAAGAATAACTTTTTGTGACAGGTCCATATGTTCTGATTTGTGAGGCATTTTAAGGCTGGATGTTTGTTTTTTTCTAACTCACAATTTATTTAGTTCGTGTGTTAGAGTTGGAGGCAAGTATGAGGTGAATATAAGTGATGAGATTTTATAAGTTAGTTGAAGAGAGTGTGTGTGAAAGTTTGTAAAAAAAAGTTAGTAAATAAGTAAGTGTGCGTGTATGTGTGTGTGTGTGTGTGTGTGTGTGTGTGTGTGTGTGTGTGTGTGTGTGTGTGTGTGTGTGTGTGTGTGTCTAAGTTCTTCGTCTTCCTTCTTCCTCGTTCTCGATGACAGCAGCTAGACAGTCAGTCCGATGTTGCGCACAAACTATGCAGTTCGCTTCAACTCTGAGAGATTGCCATAGAGCTTTCTCTCAAGGGGAGCCACATTCTGCCTCGTCTGTGTGCGAAGGGTGGCGTAGTGCGGGCAGTGCTGAAGGATATGGTTGGCATCCTCTTGGTCGTGTCCACATTCACAGATCGCTGACTCTCCCACTTTTAATTTGGTGTGCATATGATGGTGTTTGAGTCTGTTGTAGCCACAACGGAGTCTAAAGATAGTGACTTGGTCTGCTCTATTTAGTATGTAGTAGGGTTCATGTCTGTTGTGCTTAGGGTGGGACCTTTTCCATCTGTTTCTTAAAGCAGTTTTTATTAGTGTTTTTGACTCTGAGAGATCCATGCCATCTTCAATCTGGGTCATTTTGGCTCCTTCTCTGGCTAAATCGTCTGCTTTTTCATTTCCATGAATGCCACAGTGACCTGGTATCCACTGCAGAGTTGTATTGGCTTGGGAGTTTAGATCACATAGGAGTGAAAGGAGTTGTCGTACTTGAGCTGTTTGTGGCTTTTGGAGAGCTTGTAAGACAGATTTGGCATCTGTGAGGATGACGGTGTTGGCTTTAGATTTTTGGTGATTCAAGAAAATGGTGGCTGCTGTTTCGAGTGCTGATGTTTCTGCTTTGTAATTGGAAGATAGGGATCCTGTGGGGATGGAATGGCTTTCTGTTGTCCCATCTATCCACTCTATGTAGGTACCTCCACCGCCATTTCAGACTGCATCAGTTGCTGATCCATCTGTGTAAACTCGATTCCACAGGTTGCTTGGGAAGTTTCTGTCCAGGTAGTCGAGCGTCAGTGACTTGAGTATTGGAGGAGGGACTTCAGATTTGGTGCCAAGCTTTTCTAGGTTCTCTTGGATTTGAGGTGGGTGATTGGTCTGAAAGGGGTGGACTTGACATGGGTCTAGTGGGGTTGGAGATTCTTCAAGAGAGATTTCGAGTCCAGAGCTGGAGTGTCTGGCCATATGGAGGAAGCTTGTTCTTTTTAAGCGTTTGTTCTGGCTTTTTGAAGATCTATCCTTCTTTGGATGGGTTGGCATTCTTTTGACCTTTTCCCGATGAACAATCGCTTTCAGATCGCGTCTGTCGTTCAGGGGTTCTAGCGCCGTTAGTGTTTCCATGACATGAATGGGTGTGGATTTCATTGCTCCCGTGATGATCCGCAGATTTTGATTCTGGATTCTCCCTACTTTGTGGAAGTTGCTGTCTGATGCTGTTCCCCACGCTGTGATACCATATTCTAGGACTGGGCGGACATATCCAACATAGGCTCCACGTAAGACGGTGTGGTTTGCTCCCCAATCTGACCCTGCCAACTTTCTAAGCAGTGCTGTTCTTCTGTTGCCTTTACTTCTGCACCTCTCTGTTTGGGCTTGCCACGTCAGTCTTGGATCAAACGTCACTCCCAAATAGGTGGGAATTGACTCATGTTGTAGAGTATTTCCATCAAGATGCAAGTTTACCTTTCGGGGTTTTGGTGAGAGGCTGAATGTTGTGTACGTGGTCTTGTTCTTGTTGATCTTCTGTCCCCACTCTTCTGCCCACTTCATGTTGTTAAGTGTGCTTTGGAGTCGTACCTGGTCTGTTCCTATTGATTCTGCCGAGCATAAAAGAGCGATGTCATCTGCGTACTCCGCTGCTGTCACTTTCATGGTGATGGTGGTTGAAATGTCGTTGAGGAAAATCAGGAATAGGGTGGCTGATAAAATTCCCCCTTTTGGGACTCCATTACTGATTGTCTCCATTTTGCTTCTTTTTCTTTGCAGTTTCACACAGGTTCTTCTTTGATATAGGTATTGTGAGATCCATTTTAGCATGTTGTAAGAGATGTTCAGATTTTGTAATTTCAGTATGAGTCCTTCTGTCCAGACTTTATCAAACGCCTTCTCCAGGTCGATCCAGACGGCTACAGTGTGTTCTTTTCTTGGGAAGCGATCCTCTACCATTTGAGCAATGTATGTAATCTGGTCTTCGGTTAATCGATGTTTCCTAAACCCAGCTTGGTTATCTGATAGAAGATGGTTTTTCTCTAGGAACCAGCAGAGTCTGTAGTTGAGGATCCTCTCTAGAAGCTTGCACAGACAGCTGGTGATACTGATTGGGTGGTAGCTTTCTGCACTGTTCTTGGGTTTTCCGTCTTTGAGGAGGGGTATCTGTATAGCAGTTTTCCAAGCTTTTGGAATTTTCCCGTTCTTCCAGCTGCTGTTGAATATTTGGAGGATTTTCTTCTTAGCAGTGTTTCCTATAAGCATGTCATTGCTTATTTTATCTGGGCCTGGGGCTTGTCTTGGTTTGAGCTGGAGTAGGGCTCTATCCAGTTCTGTCGTTATGAGTGGTTTGGTCATAACATCATCTTTATGTTCTTATGGGGATTCAAAAGCATGTATTTTTCTCTGTAGAAGATCTGGGAATATTTCGAACTTGCCCACTTCCTTGTACTGCTGACTGAGTAGGTTTGCTGCTTGTTTATCTATGTTGGACTCGCCATCTTTGTCAAGTATTACTGGTGCTTCCTTGTTTAGGTCTTCTCCGTTTAATGATCTGACAATCCTCCATAGTTTGTTTCCTTGTCTGTGTAAGTTTAGGGAGCTTGTCTTTTCATGCCAACTTTTCCGAACAGCTGAGTTAGTTGCCTTCTTAAATTCCGCTGCAGCTTTCTTTAGCTGAATGTTGTTTTCTTTTGTAGGTAGTTTTCAACTGCTTCTCTTGCTGTTGTGACTTTGTCGTTAAGCATTATGAGCTCTTTAGACCAGTTTGGAACATAGTCCTTTCTAGCTCCTCTGGGGATGGAGTCTTTTGCCGCTTGCAGTATGGCCTGTGTGAACTCCCTCGCACTTCTGTTGGTGTTTGAGGTTTCGGCATGAATTTTTGTAGTATGTACATCTGTAAGAGATGCAAATTTGGTCCCGTCTACCTTCTTGTAGTTCCATCTGGGGAAGGTGCTAGTTGATACGGTGGGGGGAGAGATTTGGCTGGTGATTAGGATGGGTTTGTGGTCACTAGTTGAAAGTTGTTCCATGACTTATTGTGTTGATCCTCTGCTGTTGCTGTTGCTGGCAAATGACAGGTCTGGGTGAGACGTGGTTTTCCAGGCTCTGGAGAAGAAAGTGATGGCATCGTCTAGTTTGTTGAGCTGTGTAGCTTGATGAAAGCTTGCCAGTCTTCTATTTCCTCTCCTTTGGCATCTAAGTCTCTCTATCCCCAGCTTGGAGAATGGCCGTTGAAGTCACCAAGTACTAAGCAGTCTTCTGCTGGAATGCCCATCACTTGAAGCGTGAGAGCTTTATCAGGAGGTGCATAGCAGTTGTAGACTGTTACTATCCGGTCTGGGAGTTTGAGCTTGACTCCTATGATTTCTGACTCACCTGTATCTTGCACCCTGATTTCTTTCGCCGAGATGGAGTTTACGAC